GGTTTTTATTGGCAAATGTGGACAAAATACAAGAGAAATATTGGCCACCGATTTGGGCCATTCAGACACACGTTCAGACAGCTCTGGCCAACTATCTTCGCGGCCGACTCCCGGACCTAACATATCGACGGTATGTTTGAAAAAATTATTTTATTTGTTTGCAAATACAGTATACAGTATATGATAAAGTATTTAAAGTGTAATTGGTTTTGAACACGAAATTTCAATTTTAATAAATCTATTTATAAGTCGAAAATGTTGTTTTTGTCGGATAATTATTTTTATGACATATTTATTGATCGTTTGAATAAATGTTAGAATAAAATGCTATAATATATGAATATTAATGCATTTATTTCGTTAATCTTTATTTGATGATTGGATTTGTACTGAAATTACAATATTTTTGCAATTATTCAATAATTAGGAAATAGATTTTTTGGTTTTCATGAATCACTGCCTTCACTATACACTTCACTATACTGTATGTGATATGTATTACAAAACGCCTGATTCCGATGAAAAGCGATTTTTATTTAATATTCCGTTAATTTAATGCATCCTTAGATAACATTTTCTGTACGTGAAGAGCAAAGTCCTATATGTTATGAATTGTTGAGATTATTATAAGTTAAGAATCTTGGTTACAAAGTCTGAAACATGGTTTCAAATATTCATTATAATAATTATCGAAATTATTTATTAAATTAGTTGCAAGTATTTTGGACTTTGATTTTTGTTGCCATTACTTAAGTGTTGAGAAATTAATGAGATTCTAATCTATTGAAAGCTTTCTTTATTTGTGTTTTCTGTATTTGAATTGATTATAATTTACTGTTTGACTGATTCAGAGAAAATATCTGGACGTCAGACGGAGGGCTCATATCAATCGATTGGTACGAACCCGAGGGTGAAAAGGGTGGCGCCGAACCGGTGGCCAGCAGTTCCAACACATTCTCTGATGAGGCCAAACCTATCGCACTATTCCTGCCCGGACTCACGGGTGACTCGCAAACAGAATATGTTAAGAGTATGGTTCCGGTGGCCCACGAAGTCGGCTATAGGTCTGTGGTGTTTAACAACAGAGGCCGCGGAAACATGAAACTATTGACGCCTCGGTTCTACTGCGCGGCCAACTATGAGGACCTGAAGTTAGCCCTCGAACACATTCGCCGCCAGAATCCCGACTCGAAAATAGTGGCCACCGGTATATCGTTGGGCGGTATAGTGTTGGGCCGTTACCTCATTGACTACGGCGACGCCGCGCTCGTCGACGCCGCTCTAC